TCTCTCTCTCTCTCTCTCTCTCTCTCTCTCTCTCTCTCTCTCTCTCTCTCTCTCTCTCTCTCTCTCTCTCTCTCTCTCTCTCTCTCTTGCTCTCAATATTTTTATTTTGTCGTCCTCCCTGTTGTCTACTCCTTTCCTTGCGTACTACCAGTAAACGCATATGAATGAGCGTCATTGAGAGAGCAGACAAAATTTAATTACCCTTTTACTCTGCCTCTTTTTGTAACGTGCAAGTGGGCCGTAAAGGCACACGGGGATGTGGGCAGCTGGCGCTCAACCATCATCAACGTGGCCAGCCTTGTATGTGATATGCACAGTAAGAAGGTAACTACAAAAACAAAGAAAATGGGAGGCCTCCCAATGCTAGCTGATGAAAATATATTTTTTTGGCGCACTGGGCACACAGCTCGCAGGGGGGGGGGGGGGGGGGTATGTTTAACATATATTTTTTGGCGCACTGGGCGCACAGCTCGCAGCGCGTGCACTGAGCACCGCACAGCGCACAGTGCGCGCGCTGCTAAACCAGTGCACTGCGCAGCACATACGTGCGCCGCAACTGTGCTCTGAATACATCCGCTGCTACTCAGCTCTATCCCTATTACTAACTTATGCGGCTATGGCCGCCTTCCCTCTCAGTGGAGCGCTGCCCGGCAGGGCTCTTGCGCGCATGCTACTCGCAGATAACACACAAGTGCTTCAGCAGCACTGTCCAAAATGTGGCTGGCCAGTCCTCGTATTGACTTGGACTGAGCTTCAACTCCTTCCAGCCTCTGCTTCTTGTGGCTTGACTTGGCACTGGTACCACATGCCCAAGGCCTGCTTGCTTCAGAATGTCCAGGCCCGGTACTTCCCCGAGTTTTCATTGGTGTGCTGCTGCTTGGGTCTGTGAGTCACGACTGACTCTTGCCTCTGGGACAAGACTTTTGCCTGGAGAAGTGTTGTTTGCCTGTGGATATGACTCTTCAATATGAGACATGACTTTTGTTTATAGAACGCAACCTTTGCCTCTGGGATGTGACTGTCCACAGCCTGTCGGACTTGACCCCTAAGGTACCCGATTGTGGCCTTTCTGAACTGGCCGACTTGGCCTGAGACTTTGACCTTGAAATTCGAATTTGGGGTCTGCATCGTGGAATGCCTTTCACTTATCAGGAACCCTCGAAAGATCACTGGTTTACTTGGGATGAGCTGATAGAAACAACACCGCACATAGTATCTTACTACAAGAGAGCTAGGAGGGGAATCAACATAGTTGATAGATAGTGTAACTTTCTTGGAGGACCTCAAAATTAGGCCTGCGAGAGTGAAAGTCATTCCACGATCCAGAACCCAAATTCGAATCTCAGGGTCGAAATCCCCAGGCCGAGAGAGGCCAGGTTGGCCAGTTTCAGAAAGGTGTTACATGCTGCGCCTGCACACGAGGGCCATTTTTCAGGCCCTGCGTCCCTCAGGCCGAAAGCCTGAAATTCAGGCTGAAAGCCTGAAAACCAGGGCCTACAGGCCCCGTGACCATTCAGCTCGAAAGCCTGAAATACAGGGGCCTACAGACCCTGTGTCGTTTCAGACTAAAAAGGCTAGACTAAAAATGGCAGCAGCCTTTTTAGCCTGAAACGAAGGGCCATTTCCGGTCTGTCATCAGACTGGCCTGCCTTGAAACTCAGGCAACAGGTTATTTTTGGCCTGTTCCCACGACAGCTGGAGCGCCAGCCCCTGGCTCAGTTTGGCTTTGGCAAGAGCAGCCTCCTGGAGCTACAGCTGGAGTGCCCGCCCTGCAACTGAAGGCAGTCGGAGGCAGTCAGGAGGCAGGCCGAGATAGTACATAGGGACTTCCCATGCACTTCACGGGTAGGCAGGAGGCAGACAGTAGTCAGGATTCGGCAGCAGCACTCTCGAGGGAGCGCTGCAGGAGTAGTAGTAGCGTTAGCATTAGTCTTCAGCCCTGGGCACCAGTAGGTAGCTGTAGTCTTCAGCGCTGGGCGCCATAGCTAGGATAGTACTAGAGAGAGAGATTGGGCGGAGGCCAGGAGTACCTACCTGCAGCGCCGTTGCTCCAGCTTCGTCTTCGAGGTACCTGCAGCACAGCGCCAACTTCACTGGTTAGTACGTGGCTCGTGAGAGAGAGAGAGAGAGTTCTTCTTCTTCCTCTTCTCAGTCCACCATCTCCCTCTCACCCTCTCATTATCTGACTTCACTGCATCAGCAGACTACGAAAGAAAGAGAGAGAGAGAGCTTGGTGACATTGGATCCAAACTCGACTTTTGGGCTTCAGACATTTCGACGAGGGATTATTTGGGACTTGTGACAAAGACTCGGTGTTGACGACACTCCCATCTCACCCCCTATTCTTCGTCTGATCCCCTCCTCTTCGTCTGTGTATGTCTGGACCTGGCGCTTTCTTCCTGTGTAATAGTGCCAGGCTCCTTCACACTTTGTGATGAGCATGATGTATGTTTGGTCTGCGTTGAAACATTGATTGCGCTAGTCATTAGTATTCTAGCATTCTGCTTCGCTATCTTATACTACGTGAAAGAGGTCAGTTCCGATCAGGTCAGGATTTGTATCTAAGTCTTCCCTGCGCTATAACAACACCATTTTGTATGTATTGGAATGCACATTGCTTATCGAGATTCTTCTTGCACTGCATTGTCCATTCCGTCATTTTTATCACATTGCGGATCCTCGGTTATTATGTACATCGCCTATCAAGGCATGTAACAGTTGGTATCGGAACACCGCACGTGAATCAGGACAACCTGATCTGACACGTGTGCGGGGACTAGGTAGCTGATTAGTCTTCATTAATTGATTAGAGCACACTAGTTAGCCCCCAAAATAACGATTTTGACCTTACTGCCGAAAATCAAAATTTTTTTCTTCTGTTCTTGGATTTTGTTTTCTCCCTATTTCTGTTCTGGAAAATCGCAATGGCGCAACATCGAAAATTTCCGTTTTCGTTTTTCTTTTGAGAATTCAAAATTTCGTTGTTGAAAATCCGGAATATCTTTCTTTTCGAAAATTTCGATTTCCTGTTGCATTTCCCGTTATTTGGAAATTCGGAATATTTTTCGAAATTCGTTTTTCTAAAAACGGTATCGAAAATCCCTCCTGCAGGTATTATTTTCCAAACTGTGAATACTCTCATCTGAGTAAGTCCGAATATTTGTTTTCTTTTCGGACACTTTTTTCGCAGTTCTAGGATTCTGTTAGTCAGTTCTCTAAATCATTTGCAGTATGAAGTTCGGAATTTTTTGCTCATTGATCATTTCGCACTTCAAGGGAGGTTGGGAGACCTACTGAACTTGCAAAACTCGGGATTTTTATTATTTCGAAATTATTTTTTGCAAAGTTCAAACTTTTCTTTTTTGATTAGTGGCTCCTTATCTGGGCGATTCTCCCCCCCCCCCCTCCCCACCTATGTTGTTGCCCCCTCTGGCCTTACCTTCTCTATCTATCTTCGGGTACCCCCTGCGGCGGCATTGGTGAGTTGCCACGTCAGCAGGCCACGTCAGCAAGCCATGTCAGCAGACTACGTCAGCAGGCTACGTCAGCAGGACACGACAACAGTGCCATGTCAGCAGCAGGGAATACCACATCAGCAGGCCCCCGACCTGGTCTATGCTGTTGCGTTCACATACAGCCGTCATGGACCAGAGGTCCGGAGAAACAAACGAGGCTTATCAGGCTCGGATGCTGGCCTGGAGTACCGAAACCAAGAGACGGGCGGATGACGCAGCAACAGCAGCGAAGAAGAAGGCAGAGGACGCCGATCAGGCACGTCTGTTGGCACTTGAACACCAGCGCCAGCACGACGAGGCAGCAGCAAAGGCTGCTGATGAAGAACGAGTTCAACGGCGGGAGAAGATATTTAGCGGAGAGCAAACTGTGCTCACAATGGCAGCAGAATGGCGGACCGAGGGCGAGAATGGCAAGATGGAGGATAGCGAAAATAAGATCGCTCTACTCCTCTCCCATCTCACAGACCTCCTGGCGACATGCATTACACAGCAGGAGGACACCCATAGCCTCGACGACGCGCTGACTCAAGTCCACGGCCGCCTCCGGCAGCTGGAGCAGCGACCTGTCGCCGCCCCCGATGCAAGCTCTTCCAACACCTCCAATCGCCTTGAAGCATTGGAGATGGATGTCGGCTCCCTCAAGGACGGCGTGCAGTTACAGCAGACCGCGACACAATAGTTGGAGCAGCGGATCTGTACTACCGCCAACAACGAGAGAGAGAGAGAGAGAGAGAGAGAGAGAGAGAGAGAGAGAGAGAGAGAGAGAGAGAGAGAGAGAGAACAGGTAAGTCTCCAATGTCACAGCTGGCCTCATGGTACTACCATCGATACGATGAGCAAACAGGTAAGTCTCCAACGTCACGGCTGGCCTCATGATACTACCATCGATAGGATGAGCAAAATGGAATGAATCTGCCGCTAGAACATGGAAATATACACTGTCACACTTCTTTTTCTTTTTGCTTTTGTGTGTGGGTGCGAGTGTGTGTGCGTGTTGTGTGTGTGTGTGTGTGTGTGTGTGTGTGTGTGTGTGTGT